GAAGGATCAAATGAATTTCCTTGATTAACACCTGAACCGGATTGGAAGTAGCCGAGTGAAGTCGAACATTCCTCTCTTTCCATAAAGAGTAAACCACCGACTGAATAACCAGATTTGCAATGACTTTGAGCTTGTTTGGAGATAACGGGGATATAATCCAATCCAGACAAGCATCAAAAGATAACGGGGGGGTGGATACCCGAATAAGAGAAAATGGATGACAAGAGCTTGGCGGAGTACGAACAAGAGAAGAATAGATGATCTCTACTCTCGGAGCAGCTTCCACAAAGCAGGCAATCAGCTGGGACGTTAAGTCCCCAACTACGAAGTCTGTCTCTCGAAGGCATTCTATTCCTGGTTGCCACCCAGAAAATAAAAGCATGTTTAGGAATCCTCACCTTTGGCCAAACTGCTTTGTGCCATGGAACAGGAGGAGGAGAGGGGTGTAACCGATCCCAAGTCTTCGAGGTAGAGAAAAGACCTGGAGGAGATCCTGGAGAGTTCCTCCAAAGGAAAATATCTGATTCAGTGGATAAAGTCGAAGGAAGGTCCTGTGGAAGGCAAGCGCGAAGAAGAGCAAAGGTCGGATGTCTTCTCTGAGAAATATTCCAAGAACCATTCGAACAGCACCAGCAACGGTCGATGATGAAGGAATACCAGTGATTCTTGGCCCGTTTGTCCCCGTTAGGTCGATAAGGGGTCCTAAATGAGTCCAATCGTCGTGCCAAAAGGAAGCAAGAGTTCCAGAGTTCACCTGGCAATATAAAAAGGGTCTAGCAAGGACACGAAGCTTCATAAGACGCTTCCATATCCAACTTCCTGAAAGATGAAAATCCGCATACCAAAAAAGCCTTCCTCTGATTGCCTTCCGCAGACCAAAAAAGCCTTCCCGAAAGATGAATATATATATATGATATTCACATGTACGTACTGCATTATCATTACACTAATTGCCATTTTATCTTAAAGTTTTCATTCCTAATATATCATTAGAAATGAGTAAAGCCATCGTTTTTGCTATCTTCATGATCGTCCTCGTACTAGGTTTGCTTTACAAATTAAAACATATCAAATATTCTTTCCACATTTCTATATTATTCATAGTATTTTTGTTCATCACCCTTTTATTTTATATAAATAAAAACTGATGAGATTATGTTTAAAAATATTTTTATTAGGGATGCTGACGGCGGAAACAGAAGGAGAACAAATGTGCTATAAAAATATAATAACAGGACATGAATACTGTGAATCTATGGTGTGTGCAACTTAGTGTACTTCAAAGTGGAATGGAACAGGCGAGTGTGTGAATGTAAAAAACACTATCTGCATCTGCACCTATTATTGTTAAGAACCTATAAAGTCTGATTTGCTTTGGTGTCCACTAACCATAGTTAATTGTGGTACTAAAATGATAGGTTGAGTAAACAATTATATTGCAGTCATTTATAGTTTTATATTGATTTAAATGTGAATTCTGATTCAAATTATTTGACACTAAACTATTAAAAGTAATAAAATAAAGTAAACTAGTTTATTACCCGCACAATGGTGCGGAGTAAATATTAACCATAATTGTTTTACTCGAATATGCAAATATAATATATAGAAATACAGCTATAAAAATATTAGCTGATATTTATAATTGCAAATATATATATATAATAATTATGCAATTATAATTAATGATCAAAGTTATATTTATTTTATAATATAATTGCATAAATGCTAGATAGTTATTGATTTTATAATTAATTTTAGTAGTATTTTTATATAAATAAAATTACACATTAAATATACTAAATTAGATTAATATGTTCTATCTAACCGATTTAACATCAGACTAAGATACTGTACTTTGCTTTGATATAAAAAATATGAATTATAATATGAATAAAAAAAATTAGATTTTGTTATTATTAAATAGATAGTATGATTATTTTTTAACAAAATTAAGATTAAAGAAAGATGAGATAAAAAAAATAATGTTTAGTAACATAAGTAATATTATGTATTAAATTTTATAAAGATGTAGATAAAAAATATACTAAATTAGATTAATATGTTCTATCTAACCGGTCTAACATCAGACTAAGATACTGTACTTTGCTTTGATATAAAAAATGTGAATTATAATATGAATGAAAAAAAGTTAGATTTTATTATTATTAAATAGATAATATAATTATTTTTTAACAAAATTAAGATTAAAGAAATATGAGATAAGAAAATAATGTTTAGTAACATAAGTAATATTATGTATTAAATTTTTATAAATATGTTGATAAGAAATATAAAAAGAGAAAGAATATCTTTATAAATCAAATGTTTGAGTATTAAATATATATTTGATATAAACTAATTTTTAACTAAATTAATGTTAATGGCATATGATGTAATTAATCTAGTAAGTTGAGTTTAATTTCAAAAAATCATTGAAAAACTCTCTGAGATTGACACATCAGCATGTCAAAATTATTAATAAAACATGACATAAATGTTCTTTTTTAAATGTCCTTCTCAAATAATAATAGAAGATGTTCAATAAGAAAGTAAATAGACAATATCATAACAAAAATTTTAACTAGAGATTGTATAAATATTTTAGAACATATTTTTAATGGATAGTCATAACAATACTGTAGTTCTTATAAATAATGACGATATTTTATGATATTTTAATTTATTTTATAAGTATTTTATAAAAAAAAGTAAGAAAATTATATATGAAAGCTGATCTCATCATTTCTTCTGATGGTTTTGTTTTCAGAGATAGCAATTTTAACTCTTATCGATTTGTGTAACACCATACCCATAATTTCAATAAAAACTACTCGATGGAAAGAAAAAAAACAATCCAATCGAATCTGGATATCATGAAATCAAAATTAATTATTCAAACTCTTAGACAAAGTCATGATTGTGTTCTAGTAGGGGGGAGTCGAGTGGAGTGCTCAACTAGTTTGTTCCAGGTATGGGAGTTTCAAACATTTTAGTTTGATCAGAAATGATCTTAGATCGGATCTCGAATTTTAGATATTTTGCATAGTCCTAGGTGTTATATGCAGCCGACTGTATTTCGAAGTGGACGTGAAAAATAAATCCAACCGCGCATGCCCATGCTACGTTCTCGTTTTTGTTTCATTTCACATGTATGTACAACATTTTTATAATTTGGACCCACAAAGAGAATTGGAAAATAAACTTTCCACAAAAAGAGAATCAATAAATTTAATTGAAACTAGTGGCGATGATGAGACTTGCAAGCTACGAATGACAGGAAGAAAAAAAATAATAAATGAGAAATGGTCTTCATCAATAGGCCAACTTGTTTGCAACAGCCAATGATCCAACTAAATAAAATACTTGTGATGATGACTTATTCCTACATATTACTACAAGTCTACAACATCTAACGATACTGCGATACGTTTCTAAACAATTTCTCAATCAATATTAATGCTTCCTTTTCAAGATTACTCTCTTTGTCTTATTTTGTTTTATATTCAGTACCATTTTTATGGGTTTCCACTTTCTTTAGCTCTTTTCTTTTCTTATCAACTCATGCAATCATAAATTTAGGATTAGGAACTTGCAAAAGTGAAGTAAGAATATGGAACTTGCAAAAGTGAAGTAAAAAATGGTTCAGTTTAGTACATATACTGTAGTTTCTATATACATTATAACATCTATAAATTAATACTCGATAAATTAATATCTCGATAAATTAATACATTTTTAAAGTCCCAAATTAGTTTTTCGGACTAATTTTTATATCGATAAATTAATAATTTGATAAATTAATAAAATATTACAGTTCCGATATTATTAATTTATAGAGGTTTTACTGTATGTGATAGGTCTCTCTCAAAAGTTTTATTATGTCTACATTCAATTAAAATATATATAAAAAATTATTATCTCGTTGTGATCTGTTTATTTTGGTTTTTTCTCTTTCCATAAATACACTCAATTTCAGCGACGTATCTCATACGTATCCAAACTTTGTTTGAAAACTATTCTTAAACACAATTACAATTAAAGTCTGTTCTCTGTTTTACACTATCCTAATAAGTAATAACTTGTTTAGCATTTTTTTAATCTATTTCAAAATTCTATGATATCTTTGAAGTCAAGACAATGATAATAATATACTTAAAACGGTCATCTTGTAACTAATAACTTCTCATCATCTTTTTACAGATAGAATGTCAAATAGCTACAAAAAAAATTATATTTATCTCTCCCATTTTTGAGGGCTATTTTTTCTTAGAAAGAGACACCTTATTCTTATGAATATTTTGTGCCCACATATTCCCTTTACAAAACTAGCAATTTCCTAATTGCTTTAGGGAAATATTCCTTGCTAACTCTATTCATATCAAATATATTTCTATCTCATTAAATTTTCCAGTATCTCCAAGATTCATTTTCCCTTAATTCACCTTTCAATAATATCTCTAAGTTCTGTTCTAATAGTGTTTTCGTTTTCTTTTAAAGTGTTTTCATATGACTCGCGATTAAAATGGTAAACTCGGTCACTAATCCGCTTAGGATTTTATACTAAAAACCGTATTGACCCATTATCAAGACTACTTATACGGGTCGTGAATTAAATTGTTATAAAGATAAATGTTATTTATACATTTATTCATTAGTCTATTGACCTATTTAAAAACATTTCCAAAATTTTTAAAAAAAATTAGTGGTATTTTTAGTGAAACAATTACAACTAGTGGCGACAAGTCTAGAAAAACGAAAACCGGTTTACTTCCAAGGAAACAAAAAAAAAGGTTCGAAAAAAGCATGTAAATGCCTGGGAAAAAAATAAAAGCATGTAAATGGACAAATCAACCCACCAATCAGGAATTTTGGGGATTAAAATTTTGGAAAAAGAACACAGAATAAGGCTATCAATGTCATTTTACTAGATTCGTATCTCTCGTCCGCAATCTCTATTGTCTTGCACATTGCTACCAAAATTTTCAGTTTTTCCTCTCTACCAGAGAAAAAAAAAACTCAAAAACTGTTGAAATCAGAGAGAAAAATCGGAGAGCGATGTTGAATCTTTCTTCGCTCTTTTAAATAAAATCCGAATCTTCACTGCAAAAACCACCCTTCGTCTTCGTCTACTCTCTGATTATCTGATCCTTTTTTTTTTCCTCTCTTTTCCTTCTTTTTGGGTTTGTCGTTTTATGGGTAACGGAGAAAACAAGAGTCTTTCTATGGTCTGTAATTGCCAAATAAATTTCTAGGGTTTCGAGATTTCTCCAGAGGTGTGTGTGTCTTCTGGGTTTTGTTAATCTTTTGTGTTTGTCGGTTGTGTTTGGTTGGATACAAAGAAAGTAGTGATTTTTGATTGTTGGGGGAATTTCCTTGGAATTCAAGAAACTTCTAGGGTTCTTATGATAGTGTAGAAGCTTTTCTGAGTTTTTTCTTCTTCTTCAGAGTTCCAATGGCTTTCGGGTCTGAAAACGAGAGCGAGACGAAGATGGAAGGTTGGTTGTATATCATCCGATCCAACAGATTCGGATTGCATTTCTCTAAAAAACGTTACTTTGTCCTTAGAGATCATCTTCTCAAGAGTTTCAAGTCCATCCCCGATTCTAAAACCAAGGTCCTCTTATTAGATTCATGTACATTCTCCTTTATTATCTTAAGATTATAACTTAAAACGATTTTAAATAAGATTATAACTTAAAAAGATTCTGAATTGCGACTTTACAGGATGCAGGAAGAAGTGCTGTAATAGATTCATGTATCCGAGTTACTGACAATGGAAGGGAAAGTGTTCATAGAAAAGTATGGAAATTACTCGTTGTGACTGTGATCTATTTTCTCAAATCATTAGGTATGGAGTGATAAATGGTTTTTTCTTTATCACTTGTAGGCATTCTTCATATTTACACTATACAATACCTCCAATCATAATGATCAGCTCAAGGTAAGGTAATTTTACGTTTTTGGGTGTTGCTGGAAAAACTTGTTGTGATGAGCATCTCTTTTCATCGTGTAAAGGCTTTCTGTTTTTTGTTTTAATTGATGTAAAGTTAGGAGCAAGCAGTCCTGAGGATGCAGCTAGGTGGATCAATTCTATTAAAGAGACAGCTTTAAAGGTAATACAAAGCATTTAGGAACAATTTAAAAGCTCTTTTATCTGGAGGATGGAGACTTATAGTACGTATGTGTTATATGCAGGTTGCCTCTTTTCCAGGAGACGTTTTTAGTTGTTCGAGGAGCAGATGGGATTCTCTGAGGTACTGTAATCACTGGAATACATCTCTAAGCGAGCCAGTAGTTTACTGTAAAGTTTCTTGGCTTGCTTTTTGGGGTTCTTAGATGAAAGAGTTATTTTCTAAAATCAGATTGAGTAGCTCAGTTCGGGACCATCACGCAAGTTCTATTGACTGGACGCTCCGGTCGTCTGCTCGAGTGGATCCTGTTACAACGGATGTTGTTGCGCCTTCTCCGTGGACAATATTCGGTTGTCAAAATGGTATGGTGCAAACTCAATTGTTGTTGCTTTTTTTTTGGTGTGGCTGGAATGCAAGTTGTTTAATCATGTGTGTCGCATGCAGGACTTCGGCTTTTCAAAGAGGCAAAAGAGAGAGATTCTCTTGGAAAGGTCAGTATATTCGTCTCAACTTTTGAATTGGTATGTTCATTGGGGTTTTTGAAGGGAATCAAGTTTTGATAATTCATTTGCCTTACTTCACAGTGGGATGATCATCCGGCTATCATGGCTGTTGGGGTTGTTGATGGAACCTCAGAAACCATTTTCCAAACGCTTCTTTCCCTTGGACCCTCAAGATCAGAGTAAGTACTAATACTTCCAGTCTCCAAACAAGCAAGCCGTAAGATATGAAAGTTCGTAGAATATCCAAACTAAATGCTTGGAACTTTGCAGATGGGATTTCTGTTTTTACCAAGGAAGTGTGGTCGAACATCTTGATGGTCACACTGATATAATTCACAAACAGTTATACAGTGATTGGTTACCTTGGTCAGCCACTCAACTTTTTCTCTCAGAGTTGGCGTCTTTATTTGTCTTATTAGTTTACTGATATGCTGTAGTAACAGGGGAATGAAAAGAAGAGATTTTTCGCTGCGGCGTTATTGGAGAAGGGAAGATGATGGAACATATGGTTTGTAATGCTTAATAGAAATAGCTGTTCATTTGATTCTACCCAATGTTCCATATAGCTAACTGCTTATTCTTTTTTTCGTTCATTCTGTCGCAGTTATTCTCTATCATTCTGTATATCACAAGAAGTGTCCACCTCAGAAAGGCTATATCCGTGCGTGCCTTAAAAGTAATGTACGCCTAGTTTATTAAAACGAAGTTAGTTTTTGCATTTCCTTACATGCTCATTGTTGCAACTACTCGTTAGCCACGTGATGTCATTTGAATCTGATATCTCTGTCTTATAAGGTTTTTGACCCTAGCTTGGTATTTGTGAAAGCTTTGCTTATTTCTATACTCTTTTATGATTAGTTAAAGTGTCTTTTTACAGAATATACAAAATTTTAAACCAACATTTTACTTCTCATTTTTCACAAAAGCCTGATTCTGCTTCAGTGTCTAAAAAGAATATATGTTGCGGTTTGGGCCAATGCATGATCACTATTCTTTCCGTTGCAGCTAGATCTCCTTTTCAACTGATTGAGAAGCAATGCAAAATGACATTTTCCCTTTTGTATCACAGGTGGTGGTTATGTGATATCTCCCATTGACAACGGAAAACAATCAGTTGTGAAGCACATGCTTGCAGTTGATTGGAAGTCTTGGAGATCTTATGTGAAACCGTCTCTAGCTAGATCTATCACTGTGAAGATGCTTGGAAGAATTTCTGGTAGTTGCCAATTCTCTTAAAGAATATAGTCTTAGTTTAAGCACTTTTCTTTTATCATAACATACTTATTGGTTGGATCAGCATTGAGAGAGCTGTTTAGGGCAAAACATGGAAGCTTTCCTTCCAATCTGTCATTAGGGGAGTCGTCAAGAAGTGCACTACTGAATCAAAACGAAGATGGTGTTTTTGGTGATTCTTCTCTGAGAGAAAGCGAATTGTTCAAGGACACTGCTAATGACGAGAGAGACAAATTTCCCTCAGAGCGGTCTAGCCTTGTAGACTTGAACGATGGAGTGGATGAGTTTTTCGACGTTCCAGAACCGTCAGATAATGACCAGTTAGATGAAAGCTGGACCTCAGATTTTGATTCGGATACATACTCTCAGGTAGTAACAACATCAGACATTACTTTAATAAGCTTGGAGAGTTTTAACAATTCTGATTTTCTGTTTGCCGATTGCAGGAATCCCGCCAGCCAAAACTAAATAGCGCTACGAGCTTAGTGAAAAAATTACACGATCTTGCAGGTGATCTAAAGTTTCATCTGCTCTTATTAGTCGTGTTTTGTCTTTTTGTGTTCTCCTTCTCAAGTTTGACATGCTTTTTGACGGTTTTTGTTTCCTTGAGTAGTTCAAAAGAGGGGCTATGTTGACCTGCATGAGAAGGCGAGGGAAGAGAGTAGCACGCCTTGCTGCTATGGAACCACTCTTCCAACTGATCCTACTTGTGCCTTGCCTTGTAGTTGGACAACGACCGATCCCTCTACTTTTCTCATCCGAGGAAAGACTTATCTTTCAGACCAGAAGAAGGTATTAGATGCTTTGTATATTATCAATCTATTCAATGTTCCTCAGTTTGTAAGCACTCTCTTCTGGTGGATCCAGGTCAAGGCAAAGGGTACACTGATGGAAATGGTAGCTGCAGACTGGCTAAAATCTGACAAGCGGGAGGATGATTTGGGGTCCCGTCCTGGAGGCATCGTTCAGGTTCTAATTATTGTTGTTTTTTCTGAACTTGTTATCTATATATATATATAGAGCCCCCTCTTACTTATTCTTAGAAGCTTATAAGATTTTAAAATGCAGAAATATGCAGCAAAAGGTGGACCAGAGTTCTTTTTCATCGTGAATATACAGGTAAGAGGACACTCGTGCAACCACAGTTATTTTTTTTCAATTTGTCTGCAAAAGAATCAATTAGTTGTTCAATGAAAACAAACAGGTTCCAGGATCAACAACGTACAGCCTTGTGCTTTATTACATGATGAGCACACCCATTGAAGAGCATCCTTTGCTAGTTAGCTTTGTTAATGGCGATGACGCATATAGGAATTCACGGTTCAAGCTCATTCCTTACATATCCAAGGTTGGTGTAAAAGATCACTACCTCTTCTTAGATCTCTTATTCTTTTCCGTCCAATTTTTACAGACTTTGGTTTTGCGAATGTATCAGGGATCTTGGATAGTTAAGCAGAGTGTGGGAAAGAAAGCGTGCCTTATTGGTCAGGCCCTGGAGATCAACTACTTCAGGGGAAAGAACTATATTGAGGTAACACAGTAGGAGTGGATATAAGATCCTAATAGGAATTAGTGTTTTCCGCAAAAGTGTGACTTTTCAGGTTTAGCTAAATTTTTGTACAATACTTATCTGTTATGTCCAGCTGGGCGTTGATATTGGCTCATCAACTGTTGCAAGAGGAGTTGTGAGTCTTGTTCTTGGTTACCTCAACAAACTCGTGATTGAAATGGCATTCTTGGTACAGGTAAAAACCAGTTTTCAATGGTTAACTCTTGAGTTCCATTTTAGTATTTCCCGTAGCATTTGGTTTTGAGTGTGCAATTGTTTTTTTCTTTTGTGTAGGCGAATACCGAAGAGGAGCTCCCGGAATATCTTCTTGGAACCTGTCGGTTAAACCATCTAGACGCTTCCAAATCAGTTTCACTTATTCCATAGAGTCCAAATAAAGATTACAAAAAGTTCAGATAAAGTATTCTTTGAAATCTATTGACTGTCAAAGACACAGTAGGTTTATTGGTTAGTTGCTTATGCAACGCGATTGATTATATCTAGGTGATACTGCCCAAGTTCTTTGTATATACATATCACTTTTTATTCATTGATTTTTCCAACTTGGTTTGTTGACCTCAATACTTTAGCTTCAGTGCTTTTGGATTCTACTATTGGTTTATTCCTATTTGCACGCGTAAGACTTGTCTTAATTGACGACAAAGAGTGACAAACCGGAACTGCCACTCTTGCTTCATAGCTCATTGCCTGATTCTTGCACTACAATAGCCCATAAACAATTATCTCAGTGTAAACCCTTAAGGCACCAGATTCACAGAACTTTAATCGAAAGGGGAAAGATTTAAACTTTATTCAAGAATCTCCACTGTTCATAAGTTTCAGGAGACATAAACACAAATTACAGAAAGGAAAGGAAGAAACCAAATGTCTCCTAATAACAACTAGCTTAGCTAGGAATCCTGATAAAGCCTAAGAAGACTGTACAGACAAAGTCAAATCAATCCCTACAATATTCATCACAACAACAACAACAACAACTCATGTCAGAGTTTGGAATTGATCTCAGATCACAAGTCAGAAGAGCTTTCTTCTCAATCCAGAATCGATGTTCCTAGATATCTTGGTGAGCTTCATTGGAGCTCCAGGACAAGTATCAGGAACCATTTTAGCGTCGTTAAGCCGAGAAGGAGGTGTCTTGCAACCATCAAAACACCAAATCTCACCATTGCCTTGTATTTGCAGTGAGACAATGATTCTCAGGAGATTCTGATAGATAGACTCGATGATTTCTTCATCGGACACCAAAACACAATCGAAAAGATTAGAGTCAATAATCGACATCTTATCGTTGTATTGGTTACACAGTGGAGACAAAGTGACGATTTTTCTGTCACTCTTTATCATCGTTTCCTCTTCCGATAGAGAAGATTCGGAAGAATCAAAAGACGGAATCGAATCGGGGGCATCAGCGATTGAAGTTTTAGGCTCTAAAGAAGCTTCTTTTACTTCACATGGATCTTCTTCTTTGTCCATTGGATTTTCACGAGATCTAAGCAGAAACAATAATCGTAAAAAAGGGCATAATTAAACCAAAATTAAATTACGATTTAAAAAAGAAACAATAAAAGATAATAATACCTTTAGTGAAAAACTCTGGATTAATGGAGATTAAAGGAAGAAGAAGAAGATACCTGAGTGAGTGAGAGAGAGAAGAGGGGCTGAGTTTAGTGAAGGCTCTTGCTATTGTTTGCGCCCTTTTTTAGGTTTTTTTTGTATTTATATTATGAGAAATGAGATGCGAAATTGAGGTTAATTTCCACCGTTCGATTTTTTGTGATGGGCCCATTATTTGTTTATCTGACGGCTCTGCATAAACAGGCAATTGGTTTTGAACATTTGGAACTTCAGGAGTCAGTCATTGGTCTTCTCGCCTATGCCACAACTAGTAGACTAGTAGTTGCGTTTATGTTCGGTCATTATTTATTTTCTTTTTCTAAAAACATTTGTAAATGGATAAGTTGGGATAATGTACAACTTGTTTATTTTCTAAGCGGAAATTCTGTAAAGGAAACGAAGAAAGAAAACCATAATCGAAAATATCGAACCGAACCAAACGAAATTTAATAATTTGGTTTGGATATGGTTAACTTAAGAACCCATTTAATCATTTTTTGCTTTCATTTCGGTTTTTTTTTTTTTGTTTTGGATAAGTTCCTTCTCTCTCTGTGGAACTCCGAGATATCGAAAACTCGTTCACGAAAAACAATCATATGGCGGTAGAATCTCGACCAAAAGAAAGTTACTGCCAAAAAGAGACCAATTTCTTGACCAAAAGTATAATCCATTTTCAACTATTTGTTTATATAATCCACAGATAAAGCGTCACAAATAAACACCCATGCAATGATTATCTTTCAATCTTAGCCGCTGCTCACTTCGAAAATTCATTGAACATCCACATATGACAAAAACCATCGATTTTTGCAATGCAAAGTGAGTAAGTCTTGTTTTGTGGCATCTCTGATGATTCTTTAATCTACCTTTCATTATGCTTTATTGAGAGCCCGTGAGAGGCAGTTCATTGAAATAATATAATAAATAAAGAGTAGTGGATCTCCCTGTTTAAAGCCTATCTTTTTTCTTTGAAGTAACCATATAAGTAGAGCCATTGAAAAACCAACTGAGAATGAGAATGAAGTAGTACAAACACAAGCCTCTATTCAACGCAGATAAGTTTCTGGAGTTTGAAGCCCCCTTGAGCATTGGAATATAAATATTCCCATCTAATGGTAACTAAATCTTTGGCAATGTCTACCTTGATGGTGATCTTTTTGTACCTCCCAGTTTATGATTACATTGTACAATCTTACAAGCAAGGAGAGTATTCTTTATTAATAGCTTACTTCTTACAAATGTTGTTTGGTTAGGCAATATGACTTGTGGCAGAATGACCTTTAACCTCTTCGTCATAATTTTTGAATTGATCTTATAAAATAGTGTTACAGCAGGAGATTGATATGTTGTAAGAATAGTATAGCTCTTGGATTTTTAGGTGCCAGTGTGAAGATAGTTTCATTTGTTAATCTAATGTGACAAAGAATTTTTCAATTCCTGCCACTAACTCATATCCTTCTTTTCCATGCTGATTTGAAGAAAGCAACACTGAAGCCATCAAGGCCCGGAAACTTATTTGGATTAAACTTCATAATGACTTTTGTAACTATTGCAAATAGTAGTTTGATTGTGGATATTACATTTGAATGGTCTCGAAACCAATGGAGAGTAGTAGAAATGTGGGACAGAAAAGGAGCAAGGTTATGTTGAAAGTGGGAGGTAGACTAACCATTAATGGACTTGGAGGAGCTTCTAGCTGTTGCAACTATGTGAAACTAGTTGGTACGTACGTAATTTGATCATCTTTACTTAGCAAATGTATTCTATACAATTGACTAAATTTTTAAAAAAATTCAATTTATCTAATTATCCAGTTGTAGCTTTTAGAAGTAAAGTTTGTTGGATCTCCAAAGGCTTATACCATAAGCATAGATAGCAAGTAAAGTAAACAAAATGATTCCACCAGATAACTGAAGTTTCATGATAGATATTGCATGAACTCATGCATAAAATAGCACACACATTATAGATAACAGTTATTCCGATCCATCTTCGTATATGTCTCATGGTTCGAGGTAAAACTCCATCCTGAACAGATTTTCTGCATTACATCATTCAGATTTGGATTTTTAAGTTATTTCAAAATATCACCAAAAGTAAGTTTAGAAGAGTATAGCCATCGATGTTTATCCAGATCACTTAGCCATTGGTAACTGAATTTGTATATAAAAAACCTACTTTTATATCCACATCTATTATGATGAAGAAAAATTCATGAAACTTGTACTTAATAATTTCGGTGAGCAATAGTGAAATTGAATTGAATGATACTATTACAAATAAATGACGAACCTAATAATAGTGAATAAATTTCGTAAAATACCCCACAACGAATATATGATTGCGAAAAAAATCCCGAATGTCCAATATACATTGTAAACTTATGAAAATTTTGGTTATGTTATAATTCTTGGAAAAGATTAAAACTCTTATGAGAAATTTAGAAGAAAACCCATCATGTGGAAGCTAGGCAGGAGGAGACCCACCTTCCCATGAGGAAACTCCATTATCATTTAGTTTTGGTACTCTTCTCGTAAATCGTCGGTGATCTATCCATTCCATTGTGAAGATGCATCATCTGTAATTTGTTTCTAAGACTGACTGTTAACAAAGTAATTGTATAATACTAAGTTACAAATTAAGATTTTTTTTTTTCCTTCTTTTTGGTTTAAAGTGTTTAGAAATATCAATAAGAAAATAATTGAATCAGATCGGATCTACGAGCCATCCTTCCTCAAGGCATGTCGTCTGATTTGACATGTGGGCCGTTCATGTGCTTGATATTTTGTTTTCCTCTTAACTACTCGACACAATCATATTCAATATTTAATATGAGACTGGCTTTCTATTATCATCTTAAACTTGGTACAATTTACTTTGTTTATAGTTTTTTTGTTTAACAAGTTTTTAACCAAAAAGGATGGTTATTGATGTAGTGGAAGCTTATAGTGATTTTCAAACAAACAAACAAAAAAATCAGTGACAACTCTTCAAAAAATAAAAATGATAACTACATAAAACTATAAACAGAAATTGTTCTAAAATCCGAAAACCTAAACAACTAAAACCAAGCTTTGGTACAGACTGATTGTAGCAAAAACTCCTCAGATTGATTAACAATCTGTTGTTTGTAGAAATATGTACAAATTAGATAAATCGTAAGATTATTCATTAAAATACTCGAACAAACCAAATTTTTTATATTTTTTTTAGTTCTCTATAAATTTATCGTAAAAAATAATGCAAAAACCCTAGAACACCTAATCTTAATTAAGATAGAAAATATAAATATATAAAACATAAATAATACATTTTTATCATAAACTTTACATCAAAATTTTAATGTGTTAAACTAAGCTCTAAACTATAAGTCCTAACAAGAAAACTCTAAAATTTGAATTATCAACCCTAAATATCAAATCTTGAACTTCACAACTTTAACAAAATGGTTTATTTCTTTAATTTTTAAAAACTCATCCTAACTTTTTAGACAGATTTCTTTCCCGGTTTTGCAATTAAATATTACTTGCAATTACTATGTGAGCCAATACATATTACAGCTAGATTATTTATAAAACATAAAACTAAAATCAAAATTTTAAAACTTAAAAAAGGTTTCCAACTAAAACTTAATTGTTTCTAAGATTTTTTTAATGATTATGATCACTTGTACGTATTTCAGAGGTCCACTTAGTTTGCTTGTGTTCAAATATTATCAACCTACACCATTGGTGAAAAATCTCAACAATTAGATAAGAATCCATAA